CCTGCCCTCCAAAAATACTGATTATAAGTCTAAAAGGAGGCAAAGATCAGCAGTGTAGACTTTTCCATCTGCAGGTGGTCATTTGGTTTCTCATGCTTGTATCCTGAAGATAAAATCAGTGGCAGGTTTTCCAAAACATGAGGTCATTGCATTCATTACCAGAGGAGGCAACTAATACTCTTAATTGGGAAGGTCAATTTGTGCCACTCTGAGGGAAGCTCAAGCTGTTGCCTTGGATTTGTTCACCTCTGAACTGTGTTCAAAGTGCTCCTCAGCATCACAAACAATCAAGACTTGCAATTAGATGCTTAGATGTGGGGGTTTTTTTGCACATAAAATCCCCTGGATCCCTGGGTTAACAGCAGAGCTTAGTTTATTAGAGTAATTGGCTTGTGATGGCTTGCCAGCAGGAGCAGAAGCTAGCAGAGGTGGAGAAGCAGAAGCAAGAACAGAAGAAACTGCTAGAGGAGCAAAAGGCTAAAGATCTAGCTCAGGCACAGCACCTGGCAAACACAGAGGTAATTCTGCTCTCTCTGAAGTGCCTTTAAGGGATGGTGACACCAGAGAACTTTGGTTCCAGCACTGACCTGCTGTTACAAAGGACAGTTTTATGCTCTGCTTTTAATGTTCCCTTTCAATGACTCTGAACTTTTTTCTGGTTATCTGAAGTTGGCTCCTGGTGGCCTTGAGTATTGAGATGACTTCTGGGGAGGGAAGCAGCGAATACTTGCCAGGGCTTTTGTGTCAGGGTAAGGCCGTGGCTGTTGAAGTGGCCTTGCCTTTCCAAGCTCCTCCTTAAATGCTGGAGGAACCTCCCAGGCAGGAGAGACGCTGAGATGGTGAGAATGGAGTTCAGGGGTGGGAACAGCCACAGGATGGCAGCACAGGCTGTGGGACAGGATGGCATCTGGGCCTGGATGCAGATGGGAACCTGCGACTGAATGTAAATGTCTTGATTATTGGAAACCAATATATGGATCTTCATCTCCTTGCAAAGCTAAATATTTTAATCTTGACATGCAAAACCAGTGAAATACGAGTTGATATGAATGGACACGAAGCTGTGAAGGCAGCTTCTTTTGGGGAAGAAAAGCTGTTCCCAGCTTTCTGGAGATGTGTTTTATGGTTGGTGAAATTTGCAGTTTTAAGTTTTCCCTCATCACTTGGATTTCTCAGTCCTGGTGTTCCCATAAAAACTGCACTGCAGCCTGTCCTGAGCTGTGTGTGTTCTCTGCATGGTGCCCATCAGGTTAATACTCTCCAACAAGCCCAGCAGTTGGTTGCAGGGTGTTCAAAGCACAGTGCTCAGCTCCAGCATTGACGGAGTGACAGCTCCACTTCAGCCTTGTTGGGCACAGGTGTATCTGCTGCCTTGTTCCTGTCCTACATAGTCAATTAAGCAGCCTAATTAAACAGGAGAAGGCAATCAGAAGTCATACTTGGGTCAAAAGTTTAGAGATTGGGTCAGTTCTTTGGAGCTGGCGCCCTTGAGGTTTTCAGGGATGTGATGAGGAAGGGGGGAAGGTTGAGGTGCTCCAGCTGACAAGTGTCGTGGCAGCTCCAAGCATGTCTGGGTGTTGTGTCCAAGACCTGTGGAATGTATTTGTCTTGTAGAACCCTCCAGCCTGCACCTCCTACCAGCTGACTCCCCAGGCTCAGAAGGGTCCCAAGCCCCCCATCATGAATGCAAACAACTATGGGATGGATCTGAACAGTGATGATTCCACCGATGACGAGAGCCAGCCCCGCAAGCCCATCCCCGCCTGGGCCACTGGTACGTCTGGGCAGGCTGAGACCCCCAGGAACCTTCTGCAGCTTTGCTTCCAAGGGTGGTGAGACCCGGTGTGAGGCTTTGCTCAGCTCCTTCTCCTTTGAACACTGTAGTTAAGCGCTCATCTCCAGCAGGGGGCTGAGGAGCCGAGCCCAGAGCTGCCCTTGGGACAGCTCAGGGGAAAAACCAGCCCTTCAGATGCCCCACCAGAGCTGCTGCTGTCCCTTTGCCAACGTGGAGGAAGTAATTATGAACAAGTGCTCTGGCCTTGACCCTGCTCAGCGTTGATTTGGCTTTAAATGCCAAAATCCTGCCAGATGTCCTGGCCCAGATTTCAAATTGGCTGTTGTTCTGGTTCTGAAATACTCAGTTCTATAATCTCATGTTCCACCTACCCCAGGGGAACTGATAGTGTCCACAGGGAGAAACGCTGGGAAACCTTGCCTCTTAGTGTAGTTCCTGGACAGAATTCAGTACACCAGTATTCACCCTCCAAGTGATCCATGGAGAATCTTTAGGCTTTAGAAGGTGCTTTAAAGCATCCACTCCTGCAGGATTTCTCCCATTTGTGTAGGATCAGCAGTGAGGAGAGCCCGGACACAATGTGTGGCAACAGCCTGCACAGCAATTCCCATTAAAAAGCATGAATGAACATTCCATCTTTTATTTCCCCAGGGACCCAGCTCAGCCAGGCTGTGGTCAGGCAGTACTACAACCCTCCCGACGCGGACGCTGTCTTCGGGGTGATCCCCAGCCCCAGGCTGGAGGACATCTTCTGCAAGAGCAAACCGCGCTACTTCAAGCGCACCAGCTCGGCCGTCTGGAGCTCCCCACCCATCCCCACTGCCAAGGCCGTGCTGGGGGCTGCCCTACGGCCCCAAGAAGTACTGAGGTGGGCAGGAGGAGTGTCTGTCTCTAGACAGAAACTTCAGAAGAGAACTCAGGGCACCCCCCAAGTCCTGACATGTTAATGTTAAATGTTAAAGGTAAAAATTTTTAAAGTATTGTTTTAAAAGTCAATAAAGATGTGTGAACTCTGGACTCATCATAGCATTTTGTGGATGAATTTCTGTACAGTAACGGACATGGCTACGGCCCCAAGAAGTACTGAGGTGGGCAGGAGGAGTGTCTGTCTCTAGACAGAAACTTCAGAAGAGAACTCAGGGCACCCCCCAAGTCCTGACATGTTAATGTTAAATGTTAAAGGTAAAAATTTTTAAAGTATTGTTTTAAAAGTCAATAAAGATGTGTGAACTCTGGACTCATCATAGCATTTTGTGGATGAATTTCTGTACAGTAACGGACATGGAAAGTTTCTGTACAGTAATGGACATGGAAAAATACTACAGCTGTACGTGCAGGGAACAGGAGAAAGGGACATTTTAGTAACAAATTAGAGGAACTTTGTAACATTTAAAGGACAGCAGAATACAAAGCAGGAACTCAAACAGGACCCAGTTAGAGATGCTGATGCCACAAAGACTACAAAGAAGATGCATATTCAGCAAGATGCAAGATCAGCAAAAGAAGTATCCAAGTAGTAGCTTACCACAGCGCATGAAGTATCCAAGTAATAGCTTACCACATACTTATTAACCAATCAGTTACCATATTGATGACGTACGATCTTTGTAACAAGCAAATATATACCAATGTACCTAACAATAAAGTAGAGCATTCACCATAACTCTATGAGTATTGTGTGTCTGACTCTCGCTCACCACAACAGCATTTTATCAGAAAAATCTACAGTGCTTTGGGATCTGCCCTTCCTGCACCGTTCCCTTAGGACAGGCATGTTCTGTCTAGGAAGAACTTCATTAACTGTTTTTTCAGAAAGACTTCTCTGTCCAGGTCTGGTGCTGCTTTACACCTTGTTGGTGAAAGGGATGGTGGGACTGAGGGCACCTCAGGCAGGTTTTTGGGTGACACTGAGCTGTGTGGCACAGTAGGTGCCATCCAGAGGTACTGTGGCAGGATGGAGCCATGAGCTCCAGCAAGGCCAAGTGCCTGGAGATGTTGGTGGACAAACTGCTCCGTAAGACCCAACAGCCTGCACTTGTCTCCAGGTAATTAGCTGATTTTACTAATCCACCTCTGCAACTATTTTTCACCTTTGCTGCAGGTGCATGCCAGATATTCAGTTTCAGCTGCTTTAACTGTTAGAAAAGTGATTCTGTGTATAATGTGTGTGTAAATGACCCCTGCACTGACTGTCTCCCCTCACACACACACCCGTCCCAGGTCCTTGCCAAGGCAGCATTTCAGTCTGTCACCCCATTTGTCCCCATGTCCTCCCAGCCAGCGTCTGTCTGTGCCTCTCTGGTGTTTGGGGATCTCATGGCTTTTCAACCTCCAAGCCTCAGGGAGAGCTGGTGACTCCCAGTGCCCCTCGAGGGGCTGGGACAGTTGCCTGCAGCTGGTGCCTCTGGCTGTGCCCATCCTGGGCAGGGTCTCACAGCAGCCCTAGGCCTTCCTGCCACCCCAGTAATAACCACCAGCACTTAGGCTGGTGCCCACTGAGGTTTTTTGTCACCAACTTCCATGGTTTGGGATCCTTTCAGGTTCTCACACTTCATCAGCCCATTGTTGTCTCACCCCAACTCTCATCCCTGCATGGGACAGGTTGGGGTCCCCCCCCACCATGGCCCCATGGGGACAGAGGTGACCAAGAGACCCAGGCCTCTTAAGTGATGTTCCTTCATCCCTACACACCCATGCTGCCCCTCAGGACCCAGGTGTCTGTCCCTGGTGTCTTCCCCACCCACCCCAGGCACAGGCAGGGGACACAGGACACAGCTCACTCATATTTTTTTTTTATTGTCCCCAGCTGTGACAAAGGGGCCATGTCCAGGGTATTCCCAGGTATGAGGGGCTGTCACCAAGGGGGAGGATGGCATGGTGTGTCACTGGGGCCAAAGGAACAACGTGGGGTGTCACTGGGGTGTGGGGTGTTACTGGGGCTTGGGGGAGATGATGACACGGGGTGACCCTTTGTGGTTGTGGGGGCAGGGGGTGTCCATGCACATTGTCATGTCTGGGGACAGGGTATGTCCTTGTGTGTTGCCACGTGTGGGAGGACACAGGGGGTGTCCCCATGTATGTGTGGGGACTCACGGGGTGCAGGTAAGTTACAGGACCCAAGACGTGTCTCCCTCCCAGAGATGTCCCCGCTGGGCTGTGCCAGTGGTGCCACACATGACAGGCCAGCCCGTGTCCCCAGCTCCTCCTACCCGCGCTCGCAGATGAGCTCGACGACGCTGTGCTCCATGGGGACGGGGTCGAGGCAGCGGTGCACGGCGCTGGCGGCCACCTCGTCCAGCAGCCCCTGCACCACCCGCTCGTCGGCGGCGAAGCGCCAGAGGTAGAGCTGCAGGTAGTGCCCGTCCACCTGCACCTGCTGCAGCCCGAAGCGCCCCAGCGTGCGCAGCCGCACGCACTCCAGCAGCGTCTTCAGGCTGATCTTGATGATCCCCGTCAGAACCGACACCTGCGGCCAGGGGACAGCAGGGACACGTGGCACAGGGGGGACAGGGATGATCCCAAGACAGGAAGGCCCCGGGTCACAGCTGCATGGGGATGTGGGGACACTGGGGACATCCCTCTCCGAGCCATCAGATCCGAGGATACCCTGGTCACTAGTCCCCAGGGCACCCACCCTGAGCCCTGACAGGTGGGGTGTGGGGACACTGGGGACATGTGACACATGGGAACGGGGACTCCTTTGGCCTGGATTTTTCAAGTGCAGGAAAGCCCCAAGTCCCTTCAGCACTAAAGGGACACCCTTGTCCTGGCTGCCACTGCCAAGCCTGGACAACTGGGACAGTGGGACATGGGACACGAGGCACATGGGGATAGGGACACCCGTGGATGGGAGTGCAGGGATGCGGGGCCACCCTAACCCTGGTCATCAGCTGCAGGGAGCCCCAAGTTCTGACACATATGACAGGGGAGCATCAGGGGACACTGGGGACGCTCTTGTCCTAGTCATCAGCTCCTGGGGACTCTCTGGGCCCAACACCTGGGCCATGGGGACACCAGGGACATGTGATGGCTGGGAAGGTGTGCACCTTGGGGACACAAGGAGCAGGGGGGGGGCTCCTGGGCACATGGGGATGTCCCTGTGGCCTCACCTTGTTGAACTCGACAGGGCTGAAGATGTCAATGCGTTCGGAGAAGAGCTTCTGGATGTTGCTGAGCAGGTGGGTGTCCATGGGGGCACTGGGGATGGTGACACCAGGACAGTCAGGGACATGGGGACAGTCTTGAGAAAGCCAGGGGATGTGGGGACAGGGACAAAGGGACAGGAGAGGCAGGGATGGGGACACAGAGATGGTCTGAGGATGCAGAGGTAGTCAGGGGATACTGGGACAGTCCAGGGACATGAAGCACTTCATGGGGAAGATGAAGCAGTGGCTGCAGGGGTGGCACAGGGAGCACCGGGGTGACAAGGTGGCCCTGGGGGTGACCAGCTGAGCGGTGTTGGGGTGAGGGTCTGACCTGGGGGTGTAGCTGGGGGCGTAGCGGCCGGGGGCCCGGGAGCTGCTGTAGACGGAGAAGGCGCGTCGGCTGGAGTCGCTGCTCTGCGCCCGCCGCACGCCCTCCTCGAAGAGCTGCCCCACCTGCGGCACCACGCCTGTCACCTAGAGCCCCAGGAGCACCCCAACACCACCCAGCACCCCTCAAATCCTCTGGGACCCTCCCAAACCCTTCTGGGACATGCAGAGATCCTTATGGGGACCTTGTACCTATGGGACCTGTCTTGACCCTTCAGAAACTTCAGCCCTGATCCCTGAGGACCCTCTGGGTTTCCCAGCTCTCCCAGGACCGTCTGGGACATCTCAGACCTTGCAGGGAGGACTGCAGTGACCCTCTAGAGACGTTCAAAGGCCTCAAGGACCTTATGGTGACCTCAGGGATTCCCTCTGGACCTTTCAGAGACCTCAGGGTCTCCCCAAGGACCCTCTGGGACTCCCCCCGGGGGTACTTCAGACCCCCTCCGAGGGCGGCGGCTCCGGGCCCACGCCCCCGCCCTGCGCCTGCACGTAGTGATCCAGCAGCCGCTGCGCCGCGCCCCGCGCCTCCGCGCACAGCGCCGGGCCTGGCGTCACCCCCGCGTCCGTGTCCTGCGGGGCGAGGGACACAGAGACGTGGGGAGACACGCAGGGACACCCCCCAACACGGCACTGACCCCACCCTCGGCACTGGCCCCCCCGCGCCTGGGGGGTACAGAGGATGTGGGGACACGCAGGGTATCCCCTGTGACTGCACCATCTGCTGTCCTGGGGACATCATGGGACACATGGGATGCTCTCCAGGCCACCTGCAGCAGCATCACTGCCATCCCTTGGACATCTAAGAGGACTTGAGGACACGCAGAAGCCCCTTGGAGGATATTTGAGAGACACTGTCCCAGGTAAGGACCCTTCTGCATCCACATGTATTGCCACCCCTAGGGTCACACCCCCAATGGGCATGGGGAGGGACTTTGGGACATTCTGGGTCCCTCAGAAGGAGGACCCCCAAACCTCCACGCACACACTATCCCCACCAGAACATTTTGGTGGACATGGGGTCAGAGGGGAACTTGGCAACATTTCAAGTCCCCTTTGGGGGATTGTCCCCCCCATTTTGGGGACAATCAGACCATTCTGGGTCCTCAAGGATGGTCTAGGGACACAGGCAGAAGAAGTGCCCTGTGTTTCCACAGACACTATGGTACCCACCACCGTGTCCTGAATGGACACTGGCACACAGAGGGACCCAGAGCCGTTTGGTGACGCCTGCGGGAAGTTCAGGGTCCCCTCTGGGCCCTTCTGGGGCAGCTTTGGGGGCCTCACCTGCGGGGGAAACTGCTCGTCAGTGAGAGTGAGGATGTAGCTGATGGTGGTGGCCTCATAGTCCAGGCAGAAGCGGGCGAGGAGCAGCAGCAGGGCTGGGGGGGCCGCGGGAGCCCCCCGCTCTGCGGGGCCGTCAGCGAAGCCGCGGGCGGTGCGGCACAGCCAGCGCACGAAGGCCACCACCAGCCCCTCGCGCACCGCCGCCACGCAGAACTCCCCCTGCACCAACAACACGTGTTACGCCCCAGAAGTACCACCCTGAGGCCCCAAAACCCCACAAAGGTCCCCCTGCAAGCTCCAAACCACTCCAGTCACCCCCAAACTGACATGTGGGACCTCTGAATTGCCCAGGTCTCTCCCCAATCTGCCCTGTGCCAACCCCAGATTGCCCCAGTCACCCCAAACTGCCTTGTGGGACTTCCAAATTGCCCATGAGCCCCCCCAGCTGCCCTGTGCATCTCCAAAACTACCCTGTGCCAACCCTGGATCACCCCAGTCACCTCCAAATGGCCCTGTGGGACTTCCAAATTGCCCATGACCCTCTCAGCCACCCTGTGCAACCCCAAAACTACCCCCGATTACCCGTCACCCCCAAACTGCCCTGAGGGACTTCCAAATTGCCCACCACCCTCCCCCGCCTGCCCCTGCAAG